ATTGTGTGGACTCTTTGTGTAAGCCACCACGTGCCAGGCCTACGCCAACTTCTCGTATTGTATTCTGGTATATATATATTTGGTACATAAAATTAGTTTGATCCTGTATTGTACTCGTCTCCTCTTTTCGTAGTAACCCTTTTTATTCACCCCTGCAAATATCATCCCACAGAGATTTGCAGATATCAGTTTGTTGCTCCCACATATTCTAAATTTTGGTTGACTCTGTTATAAATGATGGGGATAGTGTAAATCCCAGGTAGACATTTCTTATCAACCAGGTCCTTGGCATTTCTGAATAAGTAAACATTGTAGGNATATTTTTATTATTTTGCAGGTTGAAAAATTTGAAACTGAGAAAAATGCTCTTACTAGAGATATTGCAGATCTAACATCTAAATTAGTTGATGCTCGTCTTACAATTGCTGAATTAGAAGAAGAAAATGTATATTTTAAAAAATTATATTTTGAAATTATGCAATATTTTATTTAATTAATAAGTAGAAATAGCATCTGTAGAATTAATATTTAATTATCTCTATCTTTACGAAATTGATGGAATGTTCATTCCATCAATTTTACAATCACATTTTAACTCTTGAAATAGTCTGACATATTGAGTTGTTTTAATTTATTAAAAGTCTAATAATTTAAATATAAGCGTCCAAACCTGATAGTCATATATTAAAGTCAAATGATTGCTGAATTATATTGAATTATAAGATGAATTATACTAAACTGTTATTTCATTAACCTGTTAGTACTGTTTTGCCATACTTATCACAACAACTTCAATACATTATAAAACTCTTCTTTTAATCCTATTAAATACCTTTTAACAAAATGCATTTAGGACTCGTATTGTCCCTCTTCAATTGTTTTACAGTCATTAAAATTAAATTTCAGTATACTTTCTGAATTATTAAATACACATTTACTATCCAAAACTTCAAAAAATAACATTATTAAAACCAATGAAACACAAACCACAAGATAAAAAGCAAATATTTAAAATTATAATTAAAGTATGTAGTGAGGAACTTATATATAACACTTAGAGTATTTCCTCCTATTGAAATACTCTGTAAGCGTGATGTATAAGTTTTTCTTTATATACTTTATATTACTACTATTAATAGTAGTAGTAATATAACCCAATATAATTCAGCATTCATTTAACTTTAATCTAATAATTCTCTAAAATATTACAATAAAATACATAAAATATACAATTTTATGTATAAACAGTGGCAGACTAGGTCTAACTCTTTTGTTTCCTGGCAACTATAAAGCTATAATTTAATTTTTATAAGAAATATGTATTTTTGAACATTTTATTTACATAGAAAAACATGCAATTAAAATTTTTTATAAATAAACGTATATTTTTTAGTAATTGTAGTGTACATATATTATACTGTACATATTACTGGCAATATACAGTATGTAATAAATGTAAATACAAATTAAAATAACATACCAGAGAACCTGTTACTGGTGTGTGTCTCTTACTAAACCAACTGTTACAAACGTTTTCGAACTCACATGTTAGTAAGAGACACACACTAGTAACAGGCTTTCTGGTACGTTATTTTACTTTACTCCGGTATAGTAATATTGTTGTTTGTAAATACAAATTGTTATTATTGAACGAATGGCTCTATTTAAGCACATCATCTTCACCTTCATAAGCATATGAATAGATTTACAAAAGTACTGACAGCTGTTGGAATCAACAATTGAAGTTATTGTTAAATATTGTATAACATCAATACATACATTGCATTGTGTCATGGTAATGTTTTTAAATATTTTTCCTGTTGTGTAATAAAAGGTTTGTGGTGCTGTCGACCCCTCGGTGAGCTGTTGGTGACAGTGGCCTTGTTTTACTCTCCTCTTTTTAGCACTGACCTTTCATGAGTCAAGTCAGTGTTGTCTTTTGTGCAATCTTTGTTCTTTTGCCACGTAACCAGTTATGTGAGTCTAACCAGTTTTCCTAATCTCCGAAAAGCAACATCATCAAAATGTCCAAATATAGTTGTTGCTATACTGAATTATCCTGAACATCTTATCTTGCCAATTAGCTTTAACCATTTCATTTTTTGTCCTAAGATGTTTTCCAACAACTTCTATCCATATAGCCATTCCTTTGTATGACGTTTTCACAGAAGTTGCTAAATTCTGGAGGAAATTGAAAAAAGAAACTGAAACAACAAATCGTTGTGTGCAGGCATACAATGATTTGTTTTTTCAGTTATCACCAAATTCAAGACAATGTCATAGCATCATATATGAACATGTTGATCAGCGACATCAGTAATTTTATTTTGTAAACCATTATATTGACCATGGTAACTTCCAGCTCTGTCTATATTATCAGATAAACATTTTTTGAAATCAATTTTAAGATGATGAAATGTTTCAGTCACTAGATCAAAAAGTCTCATTCCTGTACCATCATTATTTGGCACAACCAAATAGTCACTCACAGATAATACTTTTAAGCACCTACTGAATAATAATGCAAAATTGATTGATGGATTATTTTGTGTTGAGTCAACTTGAATAGAATAGTATTTTACTTGAGAAACTTCATGACTAATTATTTCATCTATCAAATACAATTTCATGTATTCTTCAAAATTTAAATTAATGAATATGTTAATTTTCAGATATGTAACAAGTCCTCCATGATCTTTGAGTCTTTCTTTGTTGTTCTAATCATTTGATTCTTTTTGTAGACTTGTTTTGTATTGCAGAAACATGAACTGCCATAATGAGGTCATATTTCACCAACTACACTGTAGTTAAAAAATTGCCATGATTCAGAATGTTGTAGTGATTATCACTAAGTATATGTAATATCGTCATTATATATATATATATATATCTATATATTTTGTATTGCCGCATAGCAGGGTGTGTTGTAATTTTATTCCATAAAATTTGTATCACATCTTACGGTGTGGTGGTGCGAGCTTGTGATTGGCCCCTGAGCTCTGACGTATGTTACCACGTCATGTATATGACGCGGGTTATAAATGGAAGGGCCACATGTATGTGAGTACCTTTTTTCTCCTGGATCGTGTCCGGTCTGTGTCAGAAGAATCGAGTTGGAGTGCGAAAGAAAAAGGGAGGAACAACCACATGGAAGTGAAATCAGCGTAGGAAGAGAGAGACGTCACACGGAGGGCTCAACTATCATCATCCATGTAAGAATATTGTACTTGTCCTAACCTAAAAGACCCCTGATTGTCGCGTCGCGTAAGTTGTGATTGATCGTTTTTCCTTCTCGTGTTGGGCTAGGAAGAGTGACAGGATTCCCAGCTATATTTTTAAATGTAAATGAACCTCAGAAGTTCATCATTCTCTGATTAAATATGTTTTGTGCCTTATCTTTTTGTGCAGTCCTTATCATTCTTACCCTCACTTTCACACTGTCATACTTCGGTATGCTACAGCACAACAATGCCATCCAGAGTGTAGGCTGATTCACTTCTGTGACCTCAGAAAGGAAGTGCTTTGTCTAACATCTTTATGATGTCTATAATCCTTTATATTTAAATTAAAAGGCATAGGGTCACAGTATATGAAAAAAATACAGGGGTGATTGGTTAATGAACAGTTCAAACTGCAAATAAGTTGGACAACAAGCACTTTTGCAAAAGATTTTTATGTTTGGACAACAAACATCTGACATAACAAACACAAGAAGTGGTGATGCATTTAAGATTTCTAAAACTAGGCCTATATTTTACTGATATTTATGAATGGTTTAAGGAACAAGACTCACAGTTGTATACATAACCTTTTTTGCACTAGTTAATTTCTGTTGTTTGAATTTTTGTGTTTTTCTGAACTTTTAATTTAAAAAACACTGATGATAATATATGACTTAAAAAGAATGGACTGTCAAGAACTGTGTTCACTATAGAAACTTAGCAAGAGATAATAGCCAAGGTAGATCTAATGTTGCTAGGCAGTATGGCTTCAATAGGTCTACACTGGGCACAATCTTAGCTAAGAAAGATATAATCAAAATGACTCAAGCAGATAAAGGATAACAAAAATCACATCTGAGAAACAAAGATGTGCCATCCGTGAAAAAAATGGAAAGATTGCTTTTAGTTTGTTAATTACATGTAAATAAACATATTAAGAAATTATATAATTATTATTATTTTTTGGAGTCATTAGAAAGAATTAATCAAATTCCCATAAAAATCTAAGGTAAATTGATAATCGGTTAATGGTAATATTGTTGTTTGTAAATACAAATTGTTATTATTGAACGAATGGCTCTATTTAAGCACATCATCTTCACCTTCATAAGCATATGAATAGATTTANGGTGGAGGTCTTATATATGGTGAAAAGCCGGAAACCTGGCATTCTGGTTCCTGGCGTTCGAGTGAGAAGGTGCGTCCTTCGAGTGTATTGTGTGGACTCTTTGTGTAAGCCACCACGTGCCAGGCCTACGCCAACTTCTCGTATTGTATTCTGGTATATATATATTTGGTACATAAAATTAGTTTGATCCTGTATTGTACTCGTCTCCTCTTTTCGTAGTAACCCTTTTTATTCACCCCTGCAAATATCATCCCACAGAGATTTGCAGATATCAGTTTGTTGCTCCCACATATTCTAAATTTTGGTTGACTCTGTTATAAATGATGGGGATAGTGTAAATCCCAGGTAGACATTTCTTATCAACCAGGTCCTTGGCATTTCTGAATAAGTAAACATTGTAGGACTCCTTCTGTAAACAATCTATATGTTGGCATTTGCTTCTTCTTTACATATGCTGGAAAGTTTATATTGTACATTACAGCTTTGCATGTTTTGTCTTGGTTCAGATTGTGGGACATATTTGACATATGATGTCAAATAAGGACATTGATGAGATTATGTGAGTAGTCATGCTGGGAAGCCAATATTGATATGCAGCAAAGTTCTTGATCTCTGTCCTGAATGCTGATAGACTGTGTGAAGCCCTGGAGATGAGGACTCTGAAGACAGCCAGCCTTAAGGTATATGGATCATGTGAAAGAGCTAGGATAAATAGAGGATTGTAGGTAGGCTTACAGAATATCTACAATAGTCTTCTGTATTCTGTAAGCATACCTATAATCCTCTATTCAGATTCTGTCTTTAGAGTCCTTGCCACCATCAACTTTAGGGAAGCAGATTCTATCTATTCTGCTCTTTAACATTGCTTAAGACTTATTAAAATTTAAGAAAATAAAGATTTAGATCTTTTCCTGTTCCTGTGGCTATCATGTAAGCAGTATTTTCCAAAACTTTGACAAATTTTTAAATTTTGTGTTCTATTCTCATTTTGTTCTTTTATGGAAACTTTTTTAAACTTGAAGATGGCCATTATAAATGGTATAAAATGTTTGTTTTACATTAAATTACTTTTACTTGCTGGGTTTTTGATATTAATTTTATCTAAGCTTATCTAGCAACTCTCATACTTACATAGATGTTATACTTTGCTTTCATCATAAAATAGTATTTTACTTTTTATGATGGAGAAATGCAATCATTGAAACACTATTAAGTTATTTTAATCTATTTTAAAATGTTTTATGTTATAGAAATATATTCATCCAGAAAATGAGTTTATTTGTAACTCAAACATTTAGGCTTTGTGTATTGTAGAAAAACTAATGGTAATTAGGAATTTAACATTTAATAAAATTGCATAAAATTTTATCATTATTCTTAATTTAATAAAACTTTTATTAAACTTTTATTTAGGTGAAATGTTTGCTATGTAATAATTTTCAAAATTGTTAGTGTTTAGTATACTAGTAATAAATTTACAAGAATTGATTTAAACATACATAACATGATATAATATTTTCAACATTTACAGATTATCAGAAAGCCATAAAAAATTACAAAAATTAAATCAAGGTTTAGAAGAAAAAATGTTAAAAGTTGTAAGTAATATTCATATCAATTTCATATTGCATTGTTTTTGTAAACCATAATATAATTAAAATTCATTGTATTTTAAAATATAATAATGATGACAAATATCCTTAGTTGGCTCTTCATAATTTTCAAAAATTGTTCTTTAAAACTTTTTGAAAATATGAAACAACTTAATCATGCTAATTATTCTTTAAAATTTAATATAGTTTTGAAAAATAACTAGAAATTATAAGCCTGGAAGTTCACAATGCCAGGCTGCAATTTTTAATCCTATTTTTAATATATTTAATTTTAAAATATATGGTCCACCTCAAATTAGTAGTGTTTTGCCCCTGTACATCATAATTTTCCTGATTTATCCTGGATATAATTGCAACTACGCTTGCAAATTAACATTATGCCTGGAATAGCTAAGAACAGGATAGATTGTTTTTATGAATATTTTGATTAGCAATCCTGTTAGCAATAGAGTTGCACTGGTCATCTATCTAACTCCTTTCAGGGGAAAATTTTTGAATTGACATAATGTGACCTTTGGTCTAGCCCAGAAGTTCATATATAGTTAATCAGGGCCTCCTACCTCTAAGCTTTTCATATCTGGTTTCGGCTTTCATCTACCTAACTCTGTTCTTGAGATTAAGGAAGGATAGACAGAGGCAACAGTGAAAATTTATAGATCTGCAATTTCTTCAAATTGCAGTCCAATTAGCATGATTAAGTTGTCTCACATTATTTCTGAACTCAAAACATTACTAAAAGTATTAACAATCTATGTCTGCTAGTGCCAGTATATTCTGAATATTCTGATTAATCATTTACTAGACAGTGAAAAATTTGCTTTTCATTATTGTTATGTTATTTCATAAAAACAAAAATTCTCTTGGACATATTGAAGAGAACAAGTATGAGAGGAGGCTGAAAAGTTATGTATCCTTTAATAAAACAACAATGAGTTGACCTAACTTAATGAAACAAAAATGGAAATCTAAATTCACTATTTATTTACAAGACTATATAATTATTTTTCAACATAGTCTCTTAACCTCAATGCATTTATGTCAACATGTCACAAGTTTGCAGAGTACATTATTGAGTTTTTTGAGAAATCCACTGACATACTACTGACTTTACTTTCTTGTCAGATTCTTATCTTTAATAATAATGTAAATGTAACTATTTTCTTTTTTAAATTTTCTTCTTTCTTAAATATATTAATAATTATTAAGGCATCTTTGGCTATAAATAAAACTTTTCATTGTTTAAGAGTTAATAAACTAAATTCACAGTTTAGAAAGAGTAAGTAATTTTTTTGATGTTATTAATAATAGGTAATTTAGCCTTGGCATTTGGAATCTGGCATAAAACACTATACAAATGTAGCATAAAAATTTACTGTTTAACATAATTTTTCTAATTTCTTTTTGTTTTCATTTGTAAAGCAAAAAACCTGTATTAAATATATATAATGAGTAAATTTATTAGAAAGAATTTGACAAAAGTTTTGAAGATATAAAAGAAACATTTTATAGTAGAAAATTATTGAATGGAAGTTGAGAAAAGCAAACATAAAAATTTTAAAAAATTCTTCATACTTGAGATAGTTATTGTGACTTATTCACAAACTAGATAAATATTTATTGGTTGATTCATGTTGAATGTTATATTGAATGTTCTTTTTAAAACTGATGAGAAATTCTAATTGTTACATGCATGATCATAATTGAATTATTTTTAACGATAGTATCAACTGTTTGATTCTATTATTCATATTTTATCTATTGCTTTGATAACATATTTATATCTTAGAATTATGTAATCTCTCACTTATTTAAAACTGTAAAATTACTAAGTTTTGTTTATGGAATTATGAAATTAATGTGAAATATTAATACTAATGATTAAAACACTAAGTTAAATATAAGTATATTAAACAACTTGAAGCCATATATATATATAGCTTCAAGTTGTTTAATATACTATATATATAGATACATAGGCAAATGATTGCCTTAAATACTCAGGCTATAAATTTGCTATTTTTAATAATTAATACTAAGTAATTTGCTACTGGAGGTAGATGTTAGGTGCCATCTCTTATCTAAGTTAGTAATTCTAAATTATTTAATAAATTATTAAAATTATAATCATCTGGAAGGAAAGAACTGGCCTGGGATGGGGCCTGAACCCACAACCTCCGCTTGCACTGCGGTGTGCTTGCCAGTCATGCCACTGCATGACTGGCAAGCAGACCCCAAGCAAGCCTTTGCTTCCAGATGATTCTAAATTATTTAATAAATTATTTAAAAATTATAATTATTAATTTAGATAAGAGNATGACTGGCAAGCAGACCCCAAGCAAGCCTTTGCTTCCAGATGTATTTAAATTTAGATATAACCTTATGTGGGGTCCGGGTGGTACAGTTGGCAAGCCACCATATGGCAAGTGAAGGTTGCGGGTTCAGGTACCTCCCCAAGCTAGTTCTTTTCTTCCAGATGGTTCTAAATTATTTAATAAATTATTTAAATTATAATTATTAACTTAGATAAGAGATAGCACCTAACATACCTCTACCTCTAGTAGCAAATTACTTGGTATTAATTATTAAAAATAGTAGATTTATAGCCTGAGTATTTAAGGCAATCATTTGGCTATGTAGCTACATTGAGTTAAATTTATTGTATTTATTTTAAATATCTATATTTTTATTATTTTGCAGGTTGAAAAATTTGAAACTGAGAAAAATGCTCTTACTAGAGATATTGCAGATCTAACATCTAAATTAGTTGATGCTCGTCTTACAATTGCTGAATTAGAAGAAGAAAATGTATATTTTAAAAAATTATATTTTGAAATTATGCAATATTTTATTTAATTAATAAGTAGAAATAGCATCTGTAGAATTAATATTTAATTATCTCTATCTTTACGAAATTGATGGAATGTTCATTCCATCAATTTTACAATCACATTTTAACTCTTGAAATAGTCTGACATATTGAGTTGTTTTAATTTATTAAAAGTCTAATAATTTAAATATAAGCGTCCAAACCTGATAGTCATATATTAAAGTCAAATGATTGCTGAATTATATTGAATTATAAGATGAATTATACTAAACTGTTATTTCATTAACCTGTTAGTACTGTTTTGCCATACTTATCACAACAACTTCAATACATTATAAAACTCTTCTTTTAATCCTATTAAATACCTTTTAACAAAATGCATTTAGGACTCGTATTGTCCCTCTTCAATTGTTTTACAGTCATTAAAATTAAATTTCAGTATACTTTCTGAATTATTAAATACACATTTACTATCCAAAACTTCAAAAAATAACATTATTAAAACCAATGAAACACAAACCACAAGATAAAAAGCAAATATTTAAAATTATAATTAAAGTATGTAGTGAGGAACTTATATATAACACTTAGAGTATTTCCTCCTATTGAAATACTCTGTAAGCGTGATGTATAAGTTTTTCTTTATATACTTTATATTACTACTATTAATAGTAGTAGTAATATAACCCAATATAATTCAGCATTCATTTAACTTTAATCTAATAATTCTCTAAAATATTACAATAAAATACATAAAATATACAATTTTATGTATAAACAGTGGCAGACTAGGTCTAACTCTTTTGTTTCCTGGCAACTATAAAGCTATAATTTAATTTTTATAAGAAATATGTATTTTTGAACATTTTATTTACATAGAAAAACATACAATTAAAATTTTTTATAAATAAACGTATATTTTTTAGTAATTGTAGTGTACATATATTATACTGTACATATTACTGGCAATATACAGTATATAATAAATGTAAATACAAATTAAAATAACATACCAGAGAACCTGTTACTGGTGTGTGTCTCTTACTAAACCAACTGTTACAAACGTTTTCGAACTCACATGTTAGTAAGAGACACACACTAGTAACAGGCTTTCTGGTACGTTATTTTACTTTACTCCGGTATAGTAATATTGTTGTTTGTAAATACAAATTGTTATTATTGAACGAATGGCTCTATTTAAGCACATCATCTTCACCTTCATAAGCATATGAATAGATTTACAAAAGTACTGACAGCTGTTGGAATCAACAATTGAAGTTATTGTTAAATATTGTATAACATCAATACATACATTGCATTGTGTCATGGTAATGTTTTTAAATATTTTTCCTGTTGTGTAATAAAAGGTTTGTGGTGCTGTCGACCCCTCGGTGAGCTGTTGGTGACAGTGGCCTTGTTTTACTCTCCTCTTTTTAGCACTGACCTTTCATGAGTCAAGTCAGTGTTGTCTTTTGTGCAATCTTTGTTCTTTTGCCACGTAACCAGTTATGTGAGTCTAACCAGTTTTCCTAATCTCCGAAAAGCAACATCATCAAAATGTCCAAATATAGTTGTTGCTATACTGAATTATCCTGAACATCTTATCTTGCCAATTAGCTTTAACCATTTCATTTTTTGTCCTAAGATGTTTTCCAACAACTTCTATCCATATAGCCATTCCTTTGTATGACGTTTTCACAGAAGTTGCTAAATTCTGGAGGAAATTGAAAAAAGAAACTGAAACAACAAATCGTTGTGTGCAGGCATACAATGATTTGTTTTTTCAGTTATCACCAAATTCAAGACAATGTCATAGCATCATGTATGAACATGTTGATCAGTGACATCAGTAATTTTATTTTGTAAACCATTATATTGACCATGGTAACTTCCAGCTCTGTCTATATTATCAGATAAACATTTTTTGAAATCAATTTTAAGATGATGAAATGTTTCAGTCACTAGATCAAAAAGTCTCATTCCTGTACCATCATTATTTGGCACAACCAAATAGTCACTCACAGATAATACTTTTAAGCACCTACTGAATAATAATGCAAAATTGATTGATGGATTATTTTGTGTTGAGTCAACTTGAATAGAATAGTATTTTACTTGAGAAACTTCATGACTAATTATTTCATCTATCAAATACAATTTCTTGTATTCTTCAAAATTTAAATTAATGAATATGTTAATTTTCAGATATGTAACAAGTCCTCCATGATCTTTGAGTCTTTCTTTGTTGTTCTAATCATTTGATTCTTTTTGTAGACTTGTTTTGTATTGCAGAAACATGAACTGCCATAATGAGGTCATATTTTGCCAACTACACTGTAGTTAAAAAATTGCCATGATTCAGAATGTTGTAGTGATTATCACTAAGTATATGTAATATCGTCATTATATATATATATATATATCTATATATTTTGTATTGCCGCATAGCAGGGTGTGTTGTAATTTTATTCCATAAAATTTGTATCACATCTTACGGTGTGGTGGTGCGAGCTTGTGATTGGCCCCTGAGCTCTGACGTATGTTACCACGTCATGTATATGACGCGGGTTATAAATGGAAGGGCCACATGTATGTGAGTACTTTTTTTCTCCTGGATCGTGTCCGGTCTGTGTCAGAAGAATCGAGTTGGAGTGCGAAAGAAAAAGGAAGGAGGAACAACCACATGGAAGTGAAATCAGCGTAGGAAGAGAGAGACATCACACGGAGGGCTCAACTATCATCATCCATGTAAGAATATTGTACTAGTCCTAACCTAAAAGACCCCTGATTGTCGCGTCGCGTAAGTTGTGATTGATCGTTTTTCCTTCTCGTGTTGGGCTAGGAAGAGTGACAGGATTCCCAGCTATATTTTTAAATGTAAATGAACCTCAGAAGTTCATCATTCTCTGATTAAATATGTTTTGTGCCTTATCTTTTTGTGCAGTCCTTATCATTCTTACCCTCACTTTCACACTGTCATACTTCGGTATGCTACAGCACAACAATGCCATCCAGAGTGTAGGCTGATTCACTTCTGTGACCTCAGAAAGGAAGTGCTTTGTCTAACATCTTTATGATGTCTATAATCCTTTATATTTAAATTAAAAGGCATAGGGTCACAGTATATGAAAAAAATACAGGGGTGATTGGTTAATGAACAGTTCAAACTGCAAATAAGTTGGACAACAAGCACTTTTGCAAAAGATTTTTATGTTTGGACAACAAACATCTGACATAACAAACACAAGAAGTGGTGATGCATTTAAGATTTCTAAAACTAGGCCTATATTTTACTGATATTTATGAATGGTTTAAGGAACAAGACTCACAGTTGTATACATAACCTTTTTTGCACTAGTTAATTTCTGTTGTTTGAATTTTTGTGTTTTTCTGAACTTTTAATTTAAAAAACACTGATGATAATATGTGACTTAAAAAGAATGGACTGTCAAGAACTGTGTTCACTATAGAAACTTAGCAAGAGATAATAGCCAAGGTAGATCTAATGTTGCTAGGCAGTATGGCTTCAATAGGTCTACACTGGGCACAATCTTAGCTAAGAAAGATATAATCAAAATGACTCAAGCAGATAAAGGATAACAAAAATCACATCTGAGAAACAAAGATGTGCCATCCGTGAAAAAAATGGAAAGATTGCTTTTAGTTTGTTAATTACATGTAAATAAACATATTAAGAAATTATATAATTATTATTATTTTTTGGAGTCATTAGAAAGAATTAATCAAATTCCCATAAAAATCTAAGGTAAATTGATAATCGGTTAATGAACAATTCAGGTAGCAAATATTGTCTTTGAACAGATTATATTTGTTAACCGATCACCCGCTGTATTAAGAAACAAAAACACAAAACACAACCAGCATGAGGTGAAGATCTGATGAAGCACACTCAAACTGAGGCTGACACAATTAAAAATATTTTCTGCCTTTGCAATGTATCCATAAGCTCAATACAAAGTTGACTCCAGCTGCATGTTACAATCCCAGCCTAGGATTGTGACAAGCAGCAAAGTTTCATTGCATAGTCACAATAGTAAAGATCCAAGCTTATATACTGTATTCTTTGGCCTAACATAACCCAAATCAAAATTATTTTTTCAGTTATTTTTTATATTTTTAAATATAAAGTATTCTCAGAAAATGATTTTATTAAAATAGTGTGGCTGCATGCCATATCATTTGTATAGTATATAGAATTTCATCATATTTTCATTTCATTCTTTCACTTTTCTTTATTCTTGCTTTTCTTTTGTTTCATTTTCCAAGAAATTCAGATTGAACCCTTTCCCAATAGAGTGGGGCAGTAAAAACAATAGGATGAGGGAAGAATCTGAAGGGAAAATGGGGGCAAGTTAAGTACTTTTTGAGATGGACACCAGGGAGACAAGACATGTTGAGAAGAGGCTCTTGGTTGTTTTCGGCAGATGACAAGAGTGTGAGGAAGTGGTGTTTGAGTTAGGAATACACAGAGAGGCCATTTTTGTAAGTGTCTTTGAGGCATTTTTTGAGAGAACATTCCAAAATTGCAGAGAAGTATGGAGAAGTTCTGAGAGAGAAAGATCCTTAACTGAGACAAAGAAAGTTGGATCCAATCGATGTGCAAAGGGAACATTCAAGACAATTAGATACCCTTGTCCTAGATCTCTTCATCTTCCTTCCTGTATCTGTACATATGTCATATTACTTTAATCATAAGTAGGTTAAGATTAGTTTAAGGATATGACCCATGCTTGTAAGGTCCCGAACTGTTACATTTGTTATTTCCAGGACATAAGGTTTGTGACAGAGCTGGTTTTATACCATGGAATTCTGAATATAATTGTATTACAAGAAACAGGAATTACAAGGGACTTGTCTTGGAGTTGGAACCTATTAAATTCTTGTTCAAATATGAAATAAAGTTTTTCTGTGTTTTTGAAAATAATACCTTGTGTATTTCTCATTTCAATACGAACAATACAACAATGCAATACAACATAAATTTAGTTGCACACAGAAATAATATTAGAACTTCTATTATATTTTTAAGCTAAAATAGAATGTCATTAACATTTTTAACATATTGTGTATTGTTTAAGGGGCCCCACTTGCTATCAGGCAAGCTGACATCCTGGCCAGTCTGCCACTGTGTATAAATACATTAATTTTTAATATTTTAATTAAAAAAATTCTTGAAATTATGTATTGTAAAATTTACTATAAACTTGGAAATACTTCAGATACTTCAGCTGTTTTGTTTAAAAAAATACACAGGGCCAATAACTTTCAAAAAACCTTAATAATTAAAAAAATATATATATACAGTAGATCATCGATTATCTGATCCCCGATTAACCGTCACCTGTTAACTGTTAACTGACCGCATTCTAGTTGGCAAATTCAAATGTCTGCTAGTGATGTGGCGCTACAATATTTGGTTATGTCTTGGCTACTTTAATATTATTTTTGTGTGTTTTAGCTGGCAACACTGGCTCGACCATAAAGGGAGCCAGTATTTAAACGAGGTTTAATTTTCTAATTTTTAACGATACAATAGCGATGATTATTATTTTTAAAAATTTTTGTTAGGCTTAACATCGATGAAAATTTAATGCGAAGTAGATTAATAGCGATATACTAATATACTAATTACATGGGATGTAATAATAATATACTACACTAATAATGGATTTTTTCATACTTTTCAGTTATCCGACTTTTCAATTATCCGACCAACCCCAGTTCCCAATTGAGTCGGATAATCAATGCTCTACTGTATATATATATATATAACTATATTATTTTATAAAGTATAAATAATTTTTTAAACTTATTTATTAACACTAAAAATATGCCCTGTAACAGTATTATTACCAGTATTATTTATTTAGCAGTATTATTTCAGTAAAATAAAAAGGAATACCAACTGAAACTTTTTTATAAGAGGAACCAAAACCAACCTTTATTCAGATACAGCTGGGTATGTAAACATAATTATTAATAAAATACATAATTGAAATGTTAAAATACATAACCAGATACCTAATTATATATTTTAATGTCCATCTGTTTATATATTTAATACATGCCATTGCTTATTTAAACAAATAGAATAAGTGCAATGTATTCTAAAAAATACTGTGAATTTGAAGAAGGATTACAAAATAACTCAAAAATATTTATTTAGTAAAACTTTGCAGCTTGAACTAAATAAAGGTTATTTTTGTTTCCTCTATTCATTGTGTTTACCTCAGCTTTTTCTTACTTTTGAATGATTCTACAAGGTTATTTTGATCTTAGATAAATAATTTAAAATATTTTGTCTGTTAATAAGATCTCTAGCAAATTATTTCTTTATTTTATTTTTAGTCAAAGCTTTAATTGTTAGAAATGGAGTTTTCATTAATATTATATGATATTTCAGTACTGTACTGTAAAAATTTTACTGTATTATATTATCTATAATATAGATTGTTTTATTAATTTAGAATGAAAAAGTTTGAAAGTAATTAAAAAAACAACAAACAACTGTTAAAATAATTATAATATACTTGTACAATAATTGATGTTAATTAATAACATATACAGTAATTTTAAATGCACTTCTCAAAAATTAAAATTTTTATTTTTCATAATTAATAATCATTCATCTTACTCTCTGAACTAGTTCTATTATAAAATGATTAAATAATCAATATTCTTAAAGAAGCTTCTTTCAGATTTGTTTTTGTTTTTAAATATTCAATTCAAAATATTGCCTTAAACTGATTATTGTGTAATTAAATTATATTATTTTTCTTAGGAACAATATAGAAATGATTGTAATGTTGCTGTCCAACTATTGCAATGCAAACCTTCAAGTTTTATGTCTCATAAATTAAACTCTGTAAGTATATAATTCATATTTGTGAATATCTATAAATTAAATTTTTTCTTGTTTAAATAGTGTTTAAATACATGCTTTGGGTTAAAAAAAAATTGAATGCAAGAAGATTGAATAACATTCTAATAAATTCATATTATACATACTAGACATTTCTTTTATTTACAAATCTTTCTACATAAATTTATTTTTGATTTAGACTGTAAAAACTTAACTTTTTTAATTATAATTAAAAAATTTGTTGCACATTTGTTAATACAGGATATGAAAGCATTCTTAGTTAAATAATTGTTTATCTAGAATACATCTAGCATGAAATAGTTTTTATTGTAAAAAAAATTGTTTCTAAAAAAAATCTAATTCTCTAGTAAAATCTTTTAATAACAGGTACTAATATTTTCAGACAGTCACAAATAGAACTACAGAATAGCATGCAGGGTCCACCAGTTTAAACTTAACCTAAAGCAGCATCTATGAATGTAGTTCTTCCTGGCCCTTTACCACTTATCAATTCAAACAACAATTTCCATGTATTGGAAATTTCTTTTGCATACTGGAAATTAATACAGTTGTATTATCCCCAGATGGATGACTTTCCTAAAATTTGTCTAGTAAAATATATTTATATATAATTACAAAAAGAAACCCATTGCCTAACATAAATTCTAATGGAAAACAGTGCAAGTTTAACCAAGATGCTCACATCATTACTGTTGTTGTTTCATTAATATTAGTTTTCCATATGTATGCAAATGGCAGATTTGCTAGGTGGGTCAAGATGAAAGATGTTAAAACACTTTTAATTATATCTGTATGATTGTATAAACAAGCACAAAAATACAGTGCAATAATGATAGAGTTTTATGATACTTAACAGAGATTTTGCACAAATAAAGAATCAAAAAAAACTCAAACAATGAGCTTTGAAAAATTCCAATTATTTCAAACATTATGGAAGTTTACAAAATAATTTATGTAACAAATGTTATATGTATAAGTTTTCTAAATTCCTTGTACACTCCTGAATAAAATGATATCATTTTTTCGACCATAGACAAATACTAAGTTAAGATATGTAGATTTGAATACCCTTAAATTATTTTATTTTGTATTTAATATTTTTCTTGATAATTATTTTTCCTATTTTCTATGTTTTATTTGGAATATTTATGCTCCTGCACATGTGACAAGCTATGTAAATTTGTAATTTTTGAATGTTTTTAATTTCAAATGTGCTTTCTATTCTATTTATTAATTCCATTCTAGAATCTGAAGATGGCCATTGTGCATGGTCAAAAACATTCATTCCATTAATAAACATTTTATTTTTNTTATATACTTGTTAAGTACAGATATCCACTGTTAACTGTATCCACTGTTAACAGATATCCACTGCTAACCCAGTAGTTAATTCTGAAAAGTGTCATGTTATGCGAATCTGTGCTATAACGAAACAAAGACTACTAAAAAACATAGGGTTAGGTTCCAAAAGTTAGTAAAAGTTACTTTCTTTTTTCTTTTTCAATTAAGAGAAATATGTTTATTAAAGCAATCAATAATTAACTAACAATTACAATCAAAAGTATTGCATGTTAATATTATTTGTTTCTTCACTGAAAACACCAATTTTGATTTTTCTCTACCTTTTTTCATAAAATCTGATATTTTCATTTGCTTGCATTTGCCTAAGAGATCTTTAAAAAATTTTTATTNTGCTCCTGCACATGTGACAAGCTATGTAAATTTGTAATTTTTGAATGTTTTTAATTTCAAATGTGCTTTCTATTCTATTTATTAATTCCATTCTAGAATCTGAAGATGGCCATTGTGCATGGTCAAAAACATTCATTCCATTAATAAACATTTTATTTTTACAAGATTTAAGGTATTTTTCTAATATTAATTTTAAATAAAGAATTAATGATATTTCAGTACAACTCTTCTACACTTACTTTGAATTAGTGTTAATTTAGTTCTTATACTATAGTTCATGGTTTAGTACATTCATAGCATGCATATAAGAAAAAAATATATCATTGAATTTCATTTCTAAAAACAGTGCTTGTAACAACAACAGTGAATTTGTTTGCTTTCCTTTTAGGACCTTGTTCATTTACAAACATGATTTATTCATTTGGTTCTAGTTTTTAGTTTTATATATAACAAATTACATTAAATAAGTTTAATTTTTTTATACATATACAAACATCCTGAAACCTGATAGATAATAATAGGCCAAACGACTGCAAATAGGTCTGGAAGCTTGGGTAGCATAACTGGCAATGCATCCACATGGTAAACAGGATTTGCTGGTTGGTGTCTTGCTCCAGGCCAATTCTTTTCTTTCACAATTTTCTAAATTATTTATAAATTATTAATTTAATTATAATTATTAAATTTAATAAGAAATGGCACAAATGCCTGCCTCTAGTGACAAATTATTTAGAAATTAACTAAAGCTAATAGCAGAGAAGTATCTTGGTTTAATCCAGCAGTTGCTTGGCATATTAATCTTTTTAAAGAATAGTAATAAATACATATGTTTAAAAACTTCATAACTTTTCATTTTTGTATAATTAAGTTTTATCTTTTGTTTAATATTTAATTCAATAAACAATTTTATTAAAACTTTAACTATGATATATTCAATATAATAAATATGCTTGAAAACTTGTAAAAATAATCATTAATATTAAATAATTGACATATTCCAGCTTCCTCATGATTTGCAAGAAAAAGTTAAGAAACATTTGACTCCACGTACAAAACGTGAAATGCCATCCCCTCAAAGTACTGAGATACGTACTATTAGAGTTCCAATACCAACTTTGCCTTCAACAGCAATGGTATATTCTGTGAGTGATGTAACATCATCAATTAATTCACAAGAAGATGTAGGAAATGGTTCTAATGGTGTAACTCCAGATTATGTATCTGCAGCAATTATGGCCAAAGTTTTAGAAGAACGTGCTAAGGAAAGAACTTCACGTAGACAGTATAAATGTCAGTTATGTCGAAGATGTAAATATCCAACTGATTTAAAAGATAAATCTACTCAGACAAAACTGTTAGCAAAATCATTTACACTTTGTAAATGTATTGATGGATTTTATCATTCACAAGAAAGATCCAATTGTTTTTCTAATTGGGAATTACCAAATTATCGAATTCGATCTGCCCCGTCCATGAGTGTTGAAACTGAAATTTAAGATATAAAATAATATCACTTCAAAACATACATAAAATTACCAATGCACCCTTTTCCAAGCTTTTGTGATGTTGAGCTTTCAACTTTATTTTGCTAAATGCAATATCACAAATATTTTATAATTCAGTTTATAATGGAAATTTTGTTTTTGAAATGATCTCAGGTAAGTTATTGATAAATTTAGAACTTTTGTAAAATTGATATAGAAAAAATATAAATTTGAAAATACTGATTTCAGCATAGCTTTATTTTTTTTTAAATTTTAAATGTTTTTGAATTATGCAGAATCATCTTCAGGATATCAAAGTACAGAATTTTAATAATACAAATTGTTATATTAAGACAGAACATCAGATGAAAATAAAAATCGAAACATGTTTTAAATATTTAAAGACAATATTGAAACTCAATTAAGGTTTAAATATGATCCATAAAAAATAATATAATCATGTAATAGAAAGTTTATTTATATACAGTGTGTGTTTATATGTATCCAAATTCATAGGCCAGTCTACATGTTTTGTATCTTGAAGAATTATTCAACTAAAGAATAACAATATTTAGTTTGGAAATCTCTCTTTATTCAGATTAAAATAAATTGGAGAAGGAAATAGAAATTATTAAAAAATAAAATATAGGAACAGTTCTACTTTCAGCACCGGGTGAAATCAACGTTACACTATCTGGAACCTGTGACCAGTGCTCTACGCGTATATATTGTATATCGCTTGACAAACACCCAACAAATAATATACACTCCGTCCAGGGAATTTTCAGTCAACCTGAAGAAGAGCGAACAGATCGCTCAAAAATGTTTGTCAAGCAATATACAATATATACGCGTAGAGCACCGGTCACAGGTTCCAGATAGTGTAACGTTTATTAAAAAATACAAAACAGAATAAATTATTTGAAAATGTATGTAATGGAAATATCAAAAGTTATAAGTATACTGCTTATTTAAGGCAACTGAAAGATATTTATTTGCCAAAAACATTATCATTTTTCTCAAAGCCATCCTCAATTTTCAAATAAGTGTCCATTTTGAATATGTAACTTCTCTAATTTCAGTAGCTGAGAATGGTCTTGAGAAAACCAAAAACATTTCTGAGAAATAAGTAATTTTTGGTTGCCTTAAATAAGCAGTATAATAATAAGTTTTGCTATGTTGCTAGTACCAAGTTCAATGGAATTTGTAGGTGTAATGGAAATGTATCAAAAGAAACAAATGGAAGGACAAAATAAATAATGAGAGAACAAGATTATTTCCTTGTACTTTGATTAGAGCAATGAAAAAAAAATTAAGATATTCATCAATAAGAATATGTAGAGAAACAAAATATGATTATGTTCTTAACTTTCAGTTAAACTAATCTTCTGTATATCTCATATCTTACTTGAATACAAAGTTGAACTGCTATATACAAGTAAATGTTACTAAAGGATATTAGACAAAAGGCTAAAAAGATTTATTTTCATTAACTCTTTAAACATGAATGGGGCAAAAATCAGCTTTATTTGTTAAAAACGAAATTGGCAATTGATTACTTGTTAGGCTAGTTTTGCTATACAAGTTTCCCTTGTAGCCTGAGTGGCAAAAACAATTTAGTCATTAACAACAGAGATGGAGTGAGTTTTCAGAACTTAGAGTTAAATCTATCAAAAAGATAATTCAATTGCTCTTCTTCATTCTAAGTTAAATAAAATGTTAATTAGGTTTAATTATGTTCAGAATAAAACTAAATTAATATCTATTTTCTTTTCAGATGTTGTTATTCATTTAGCTAATATATATTTTAGAATGATCTCAGAGTTTTTATGCAAGTTTTCCCATGTATTGTTTGTTATATTTATATTTTATGTCTAATGTAGGCAGTGGTGTAATGATCTGGTACTGGTTTCCAGAGTCAGAATGTATTTTAGAAGTCTTCCAATACAATTATTAACATGTATTCTGTATAAAAGTAATTATATAGACAGATTTTACTCACTTTTACTCATTTGTTATAAAAAAGCCAAAAGTTTATCCAGATATTATTGAGTTGTGCATATGCAAGTCTACATAACAGGAGATGGGAATTTTGATTTCCAAGCACACTGCACCTAGTGCAAAGCAATGCAATTCAATATAGTTACAAATATATTGTATTTTCTAGATGTACTGTTACTGACAATAGCAGATCTAGAAGAACCCAAAGGAGGCTAATTCAAAAATTTAAAAATATTTGAATAATTGTAAGTACCTTTTTATTAACATGTGCAAGACAATTGCATTATGAATGGTCCAATAAACCATATTTGCCATCATAAATGTTTTTAAAAATATTTTGAAGTTTAAACAAATAAATTTTAATTTATTTTTATGTCAACGGGGAGTGCTTAATCTCCTGTAGCCATTGTGGATCTTCCCATTTATTGAATTATTTGTTATATACTGGTTGATGCTTATGCTATCATATGCAATATTTTTATGCAGGGCAGAAGCATTTAAACAGAAAGTTGCCAATAAATATTTTACTACAAGATATCCATTCAGAAATTGTATTAATAACATAATGTTCTAGCATATTCCCAAAATCATAACATGTAGCTCTGCTTATGTGAATGTGGCTTCAGCAAGATAAATTTCACTATAACTGAAAAAAGCTCCTGCATTCTTTTTGAAAATGTTGTATCTTTATTTATTAAACTGCATGATTTATGCTAGAAGTGTTGTATCTGAACTGTTATGAGCAGATGAGACTTGTTCAAGCAGCAGCATGGGATATGTAGTGCAAGCATCAATGAATATGAAGGAAGGAAGTTGATCAATCATCCATTTTTTTTATAAATGTCTCACATCATATATTAAGTACATAAAAACAGATATTTATTGATAAAAACATTATATATTTATTACTGAATTATAACAAAATAATCATACATAAGCAATAACTAAAAATAAAAAGATAAACTTATGATTTATATCATATTGAGAAACAAACTATTTAGGTAGGCTACTCTCCTTAACTCAAAACAAAATATTATAGAAATAAAAATTATGCCTAAGATAAGTAAAATAAAAGACTTGTTTTCTTATTTCTGTGTATAAAATGGATACAAAATAATAATATCTATGTGTAAAATAATAATCTTTTTGATAATAGAGATGCAATTTAGATATAGTTATGGTAATTTCTTCATTTTCAACCTTGCTAAAAATTCCTTTTTTGCAATTCATTAGCATGAATGCTTCCAGTTGAGATTCAGTCAGGGTTGATCTTAATCCATTATTTTTTGTTTTAATTTTGAAAAAGTCCATTTTTGGACTACTTGAGAAATTAGCAAAGTTAAAAATATATTGATATCAAGAGTGAGTGTAGGATAAGTTTTTTGGTACATATTGTACTGATATATATTAATAACTTGCATAAGGTAACATGTACCATACATGATTCAGATGAAACCATGTTGTAGTTTATTTTGCTTTTTTACAGACACACTACGGTGACATTATTCAACACTTGGCAGATTATTCACCACTTTATTCAGTTATTCACCAACTGAATAAAGTGGTAAATAATCTGCCAAGTGTTGAATAATGTCACCATAGTGTGTCTGTAAAAAAGCAATGTACCATACATATTTTATCCAGAATTTTTTGTTACTAAGAGCAATATGAGGTAAGCACCAAGAAAAACTTCTGGATGCACCACTGATGTATCTACGAATGTACAATTGAAACTTAGAATGACTTGTATACTAAGTTTTAATTGTAATTTTATAATAAAAATTTAGATCATTTGATACACAGACCTATTGACACCTCTAGAAATTTCTTGACAACCCAATGGCTTCATCTGTCACTGACTATTAATATTATGTACAGACCTGAGGTCATATTCTGGTCATCATCTCATTTTCAAGAGACAGTATCTATGTCAAAAGCTTGTCACTGATTAAACATTTGCTTAGGTGTCAAGAGATCATCACTTCTCCTGGAAAACATCTCTGGACAACTTTTTCTCTGAAAGATTCTCTTGTCTACCAGAGATGAGCAGATAGTTGTCTTTTGTCTATAAACTCAATTTTGTTGTATGCAATATAGATGACTGGATGCTACTCTCACTATACAATTGCATTAGAGAACTTTCCTATCTCAGGAAAGAGTAGTTTGAGATAGAGATAATGCTGTTGATCTTATTTTAAAGTAGCCACTTTACATTTCTTGCAGGAATGCCACTGACTTCATCTTTTTTTAATAATTCTTCATCAATTACTGAACCATTGAACATGCTATTAACCTTATCCATTACTACCAATATCCATTTCTCAAAGTATTTTTTGAAATATTACCATCTAATTTCTACTTAACTAAGTACACGTCCTTTACTAACTAACTTAGGTTACTAAAATTTATATTTTGTTAAGAGAAAATGTTACCTGAAACATTGTGACATTACAATCTGTACAGATGTTATAAAACAAATTCATATGTTTTTCAACACTACATGCTTTATTTGAACCTCATTCTCTCCTTACCACATGACCTATAATTTTGTACTCTGTATTTTTAATTTTGTACTCTGTATTCTGAAAATTTTACAAATTTATTGGTTGAAATTCTGTACTGTGTTGTGCATGCAGATAACTTGAATGTGTATAATCAACCTAATAGAATTGTGATCAGAATTGCCTGTCTCTGGAAGATCAGTTTTGTCTCTGAAAGAAGAGATGAAAGGTTAACAAAATACGACCCCTGGTTTTGATCTTTCTTTTTTGCTGTTGAGTGACAGCTGAAAAAAAGCTATAGCACAAGAATAGAAGTTTCCAAATAGCATTGACAAACTGATGACTTCTTAATATTAGTTTAGTAATAATTTCAATTTTGATTTATGTAATTTTACTTCAATATACCCTGAGATCAAAAAGTATCAGAAATGGTTTAATAAAACACAAGATTTGAATTTATTTATCAAAATTTACTTCATTTCCTTCAAAGTAATTCCTTCTCACTTCAATGCACTTGGAATGTTTTTCCAATCCTCAAAACATGTGTGGTGTATCCCACCATGTATATGTATGTTTTATTCGATAATATTCTATGTTATCTATAATTTCCTCTTCTACGTAAATAACCCGCACTATTTTTCCTTGTTTGACTCTTCCATCCTATATACACTTTCTGGCTAGTTTTGGGCTGAAAAGGG